ACTCACTTTAGCATAGCATGCTATCACATGATCTATGTAAATTACTGATCGTCTTATTTCCTTATAGAACTATATTTTGTGTTAAAGTCTCTGGCTGTGTCCGCTGACTCTCTTTTCTCTCTTTTGAGCTTGAGGTGGATCTAAGGCAACAGAGAGAGAAACACATACAAACCATTTGTTACCACATTCCTGTCATCTGCATGAATTAGGACCTGGCCTGTTCAGGCCCAGAGGTAACTGGCCAATAGGACTTTACAAAGATGAATCACGACACAATTACAGTGAATTTATCATCAACTGCTTTTAAAATGTGCCAATTAAATCTAAAAAAGTGTCAGAATTTGGCTATGATTACTCATTTTAGCATAGCATGCTATCACATGATCTATGTAAATCACTGACTGTTTTATTTTCTTTTACAACTATATTTTGTGTTGAAGTCTCTGGCTGTTTAGGAGGTTTCCCTGTTTCAACACACCTGATTGACATCACAGAGCCATTAGCAGACCGGTGCAAAGCTAAAAAATGTCCAGATTTTGGCTATAATTACTCACTTTAGCATAGCATGCTATCACATGATCTATGTAAATCACTGACTGTTTTATTTTCTTTTAGAACTATATTTTGTGTCGAAGTCTCTGGCTGTTTAGGAGGTTTCCCCTGTTTCAACACACCTGATTCACATCACAGAGCCATTAGCAAACCGGTGCAAAGCTAAAAAATGTCCAGATTTAGGCTATAATTACTCAGTTTAGCATAGCATGCTATCACATATGTAATTACAGATCGTCTTATTTCCTTATAGAACTATATTTTGAAGGTCGATTTGTTTGAATGAGCCGGATAATCAAAGTTATTTCATCACAGGAGCTACTGGAAACCAGAAAATCTGTCAGGACTTTGGCTATAATGACTCACTTTAGCATAGCATGCTATCACATGATCTTTGTAAATTACTGATTGTTTAATTTCCTTATAGAACTATATTTTGTGTCAAAGTCTCTGGCTGTGTCCACAGACTCTCTTTTCTCTCTTTTGACCTAAAGGTGGATCTAAGGCAACAGAGTAAGAAAACACACACACACCATTTGTTAGCACATTCCTGTCATCTGCATGAATTAGGACCTGGCCTGTTCCTGCCCAGAGCTAACTGGCCAATAGCACTTCACAAAGACGAATCACGACACAATTACAGTGAATTTATCATCAACTGCTTGTAAAATGTGCCAATTAAATCTAATAAAGTGTCAGAATTTGGCTATGATTACTCACTTTAGCATAGCATGCTATCACATGATCTATGTAAATCACTGACTGTTTTATTTTATTTTACAACTATATTTTGTGTCGAAGTCTCTGGCTGTTTAGGAGGTTTCCCCTGTTTCAACACACCTGATTCACATCACAGAGCCATTAGCAAACCGGTGCAAAGCTAAAAAATGTCCAGATTTTGGCTATAATTACTCACTTTAGCATAGCATGCTATCACATGATCTATGTATATCACTGACTGTTTTATTTTGTTTTATAACTATATTTTGAAAGTCAATTTGTTTAAATGAGCCGGCTAATCAAAGTTATTTCATTACAGGAGCTACTGGAAACCAGAAGATCTGTCAGGACTTTGGCTATCATGACTCACTTTAGCATAGCATGCTATCACATGATCTATGTAAATTACTGATCGTCTTATTTCCTTATAGAACTATATTTTG